TTTTGAATCTTTAATCCTTAATCTTGAATACTCATAGATATTGAATCTTGAATTTTCTTGGCACGTGAATCAACATGAATCCTTGATCGACTTAAATTTTGAATCATGAATATTGAATCATGAATCTTGAATCATAAAATTTGAATCATGAATCTTGGATGTTTAATTTTGAATCTTTAATTTTGAATGTTTGATTTTAATCTTTAATTTTTAAGTTTTTAAGTTTGAATCTCAAAACTAGCATCTCGCATCTGGCATCTCCCATATTGCATCTTGAGTCCTGAATCTTGGTTCTCTTTGTATCTTAAATTTTCTCGAATCCTGAATTTTTCTGGATCTTAAATCTCTAATTTTCTATAATCTCGATTTTTCTTGAACTTCCAAAAATCTCTGAAATCTTGAATTATCTTGAATCTTTTCAGTCTTGGATCTTATTGAATGATGAATATTATTGAATCTTGATTTTCGTGAATCTCGAATCGTCTTGAATTCTCCCTAATTTTGAGTTTTGAATCGTCTTGAATTCTTCAATCTTGAGTTTCCATGAATCTTGAATTTTCTTAGATCTTGAGTTTAGTGAGTCTGGTTTTAAAATCAGTGCCGAGCGAGCCGAAGGTCAGTTCGGCACAAACCTAGGCAGTTTAAAGGTATAGGTGGTAAGTCCGATCTCTATTCTGCCGAGGTTTGTGCTGAACTCGCCTTCGGCCAACTCAGCACTGGTTTTACTCTTATTTGCCACTTTTGCATATGCTCGCCTAGTTCGACGTTAAAATAGGGCTAAGGGTAAATTCCACGCAAAAATGATCTAGTTTTAAAATCAGTGCCGAGCGAGCCGAAGGCGAGTTCGGCACAAACCTAGGCAGTTCAAAAGTATAGGTGGTATAAATCCGATCTCTATTCTGCCTAAGTTTTTGCTGAATATAAGACCAAACAGAAGGTGGAAGGACTGTGTCTTGACCCTTGGATGACTTGAGATAGAAAGGGTTGGATGAAGAGGATGTGTAGAACAGGAGTGAGTGGAGGAAACAACGGCGACTCCTCATAAAAGAGGGAAACGTTGAAGAAGAGGAGGAAGAAGAATATCTTCAATCTTTTGCCTTCCTCTCCAAATCTGTGCGACTACTGCAAAGAAAACAACAGCAACAAGTTACCTGGGGGTTCGCAAGTGGTTGCGTAGGTATTAGGCGCACAGACATAGGCTATTGAAAAATGGGCGCTAAATCCGAACAAAATTCGTAGTAGAACTTTTTAATTATGGCACCGAGAGTTCGCTGAAAAACGCGTAATTTCGAAAATACGTGACCGCTTCGAAGGTGAAGGAAGATCGATTGTTGACATACTTAACAAACCTTCAAAACCTCAAATACATTAGCAAGGTTGGGTAACGCAAATTCCGGCCGCCTTGAATTTGTGTTAGCGGTTGAACGACTTCGGTGACGTTACTAATTTGCGAAGACATTAGGCCTATTTGATTAGGGAAGTATGCGTTCTTTGGTACGACGAATCGCGACCTCGACTTAATTATTAAGAGTCATATCGCGTCGTTTGCTTCTCGAACCGGATTCTGCGTTAATCTATAATGGGAAATTTTCATGAATCAACGACTATTTGTATTCCACTGCACTCTTAATGCAAGTTTGCATATCAATTTACATCATGCATCTAATTTAAGAAGCGACTTACGGTTTTCTTATTAGAATTAAAAATCTAGTCTGATATGAGGAAGCTCTCTTCACCTGCTACTCAGAGAATGCTGACTGATCCTGATTCTCCTAAATAACGTCTAACAATAAATCGTTGTTCATGTTCCCCTAATACGTAGAGCTAAATGAGTATGCGAATTTTTTTTAATCTCCACCTGCAAGTCATGAGCGAAACTTGTTCGTTACTTATGTTCCTCTTATAGTTAATGCACAACTGCCAAAAGCACCCTGCACTTTTTAAAGTCGGAATATCTCCTCTCACACTGTATTCTCCTAATGCATCGTACGAATGGGAAGATCTAGATTATGAAAGAGATCTTTTCGTCTTTCATGTTGAGAGGTTCCACTCTGTATATACAACTTACGACGATGCACACATTTTTGAGAGTTGGCAACCATGCAATTTCTAGGTGGGGAAAAGCTGCCTGCGCCATCTAGAAAAGCACGAACGTGGGTTACGTTTTGGCACCTTGTCTTGAATGGCGGTCGTGAACGCGTCGCTCCATAAATATTTGTTGTTATTTTGAGTTTTTTTAATGCAGGAAGTCATCTTTGCAGTTCTTTATATCGTATTTATATTTTATATTTTTTGTGTGTTCCAATCTTTGTTTTTGAAATTTACTTGGTTTAACTACAATACAGAATCACATATGTGATACCGTTATGCTATTGATTGTAATTGTTTACGTTTTTTGTGTAATGTTTGCTTAATTTATGTTTATTGATGTTGATTATTTGGTCTTGTCCCTGAAGTAACATTCATATAAGTTTTAATTTTATTTTAGTATGTGGAAATTACCGATTCGTTTGATGTATGTACTGACTTATTGTTTGTTACTAACCTTTTTCTCCGTGAATGAAGCAGTCACGGGGGTGGTACAAACTGTAGTCAAAATTGAGCTACGACACCTAATTCCGTGATTGTCTTCGACATTCAACTGTAGGCTCGTAACCCCGAAACCAGGAGCGGGTTACCTATCTTGCAGGAGCGGGATTACGCTAATCAAAGCTCTTCAGTTTAGAATCTTAAGTGCGATAAATGAGTGGCGTTTCAATAATTTTCATATATCTTGTTTTTAGTTAAATTTGCCTACAAGGCCATGTAATTTTCCATCTGGCTTTTAACAAAAGGACAAAACATGAGTCACATCCTGTGTATTTCACCCTTTCTAAGAATCCTGGTACGTGCTTACCTGACCCATAATTCCCAAAACTTGTTTTTAACCTAAATGTTACCTCTTGAAGTCTACATGCTACTTTTTGTGATGTTATAATTTTATGTTACGCATTCACATCATTACAAACAATTGATTTTACTACACAATTTAATATTAATTTGACGGCTGGTTTTTTTATTGGTAAGTTCTTTTTTTCTCAGCCTATTTCTATTTTGATTCGGTGAACTACCATTTTCAAAAGTTTATTTTTGCAATGTAATTTATTTCGACTTAAATTTCCGAGCTGTTACAATCAATAATAATTACGATCATAAATAAACTTTTCACAATTTCAGTATTTTATTTTACGTTCCTTCCCTACTGTGCTTCAGGTCAAAGCGTTGTCTGCAACTAACGTAAGGGGGTCCTGCCTTATATGTTTGATCACGTGCCACGTTTCAAATTTAAACGGCATCTTGTTTAGTTTTGGAGGAAATAGTCATTCGGGTAGGGTGGCCATTTTTAAACGTTGCCGGGTTGACTTTATTTCCGTGTTCTTGTAGTGTGAAGTTAGCGTAGAGCCTGGGGGTTAGTACACTACAAAATTTAATTTTAGAAATTCCCTATAATCTGTCAAAAGTTACTACAAAATTGAAGGAAAATAGGACAGGTTCTAAACATTACAAAAATAGGACAACTTTCAGTTCCTAAAATAACTACCAAAAAATTGATCAAAGTTGATGTATGAAATGTTCAATTTTTTTGTTCCTAAAAAAATTATTTAAAAATTCACTAAATAAGGGATCGTTACAAACGGGCTTTATGAACAACCGAGATTTGTATACTATTTTACCAAAAGCCCGTAGTACACCACAATAAATTACATGTATTTTTCATGAATTTGTATTGTTATCGTGAATTTTTACATTCAATTTTACATCATAAATTGAAGTAATAGGTTTTGTTCTATTTTTTAAGGTCATTGTCATGAATGCTTTACTCACTGAACTAAAATTAAACCGGAACGCGCACTGGCGGTCTCTGCCATAGAAACGTAGCGCGCCGAGAGACACAGTGCAAGGGGGATTTCTGTCACTGTCACTCATTGGAAAATAAATAAATAAAAATAAACAAATATCAAATAGACTGCATATTAATTATAGTTCAGAGGTTTTACCGTTTATAAAGTTCAGTTGTTTCATGGAGGGAACGTAGGAAATTCCAAGTCGGCCGGCGCCTTCGGTTAGTACTGCCATCACGACGTAATCGGATGCTGTTACTGCAACAAATTTACTTAGCTACTATTAATTGCACTTACTTAATTGGCCGGATTGAAATTTCTAAAGTCGGTACTTAACACCAATTAGTTAATTGGAATTCCTCAGGTCGGCATTTATCACAACTGATCTCGGCGTAAACCTGTGCAGGCACTTGCAGTTTTAATTTACCATTGACAACGACAATCATACAGGCAGAAATTCAAAATATCAATTCGTCTTCGGCTTCTTGACATAATAGCTTTCGGTCGCAAACAAAAGTAATTGAAATATCTCGACGGGAACGGTTGCAAATGGCGGGCGGATTACTTACAGCTTCAACTATTAGAACAAACACATACTTTCGGCACGACACTTTATGTAGCGAAGCGCCAGTAGATACCGGGTATGGTGATGACGGGTAAATGTCAAGGTGGAAAACGAGTGATTACATTGAAACTCCTTCAAAGATGTCATTTGAAGTAGCACATTTAAAATCCCTTGAAACTTTAGCTGAATTCGTTTCAAGTGATTTACCAAGTTAAATCAGTTGAAGTGATTGCACTTTGTTTTTTTAGTTTACAATCAGTTCCCACCACTACTGACCAAGTGAACGGAAATCACTATTTTATCTGATTGCGGGAAAAGTTGGTACAGTTTAACATAACCTCAGAAAACTGGACTCATAACCTTAGATCATCTCATAACCTCTCAGGCTGTTTGTTTATTTTTTTATCGGACATTTAAGAACTGTTTATGAGTGTTGTACCTGTCGAATACCCTCTGAATAAGTTTCCTATACAAATAAAGTTAATACTCTTTGGTTCAACGTACCGCATACCTATTTAATAATATTAATAATGTTTATTTACAGAAAAATCTCATTGTACAAAGTTCAACATTAAATATTAGCAAGAATTCTAAATGAATTGAATGAGCGATAATGAATTGAATGAGCAAGATTTACAAAATATTACCGCTAAAAAAAACCAATTCATTTCTTTTTAGGTTATGTTAAGTAATAACAAACACCAAACTGTCAGAAGTCATGTTTTTTTCTTTAACCTTAGACCATACAGTACACTGAACTGATTTTGGTGAAACTGATTGTGATTTATAAATCACAAAATCACTTTATGTGTCAAGAGATGTCGTTTAAAGTGGTATTTATTATTTGTCCCATAATCACAAGTAGCGCATTTAAAATCCTTTGAATCTTTATGTTTTAAAAGATGTCGTTTGATGTGGTATTTCTGGTTTGTCCCATAATCGCAAGTAGTACATTTAAAATCCTTCAAAACCTTATGTATCAAAAGATGTCGTTTGAAGTTATGTTTATTACTTGTTCCATAATCACAAGTAGCACATTTATAATCCTTCGAAACCTTATGTATCAAAAGATGTCGTTTGAAGAGGACTTTATCATTTGTTCCATAATCACAAGTAGCACATTTAAAATCCTTTGAAACTTGATGTATCAAAAGATGTCGTTTGAAGTGGTGTTTATTACTTGTGCCATAATGACAAGTAACACATTTATAATCTTTTGAAACCTTATGTACCAAAAGATGTCGTTTCAAGAGGCATTTATTATTTGTTCCATAATCACAAGTAGCACATTTAAAATCCTTCGAATCTTGATGTATCAAAAGATGTTGTTTGAAGAGGTGTTTATAATTTGTCCCATACTCACAAGTAGCACATTTAAAATCCTTCGACACTTTATGTATCAAAAGATGTCGTTTGAGAAGGTGTTTATCATATGTTCCATAATCACAAGTAGTACATTTAAAATCTTTAGAAACTCTATGTATTAAGAGATGTTGTTTGATGTGTTGTTTCTGATTTGTCCCATAATCACAAGTAGCACAATTAAAATCCTTCGAAACCTTATGTATCATAAGATGTTTTTTGAAGTGGTGTTTATTACTTGTTCCATAATGACAAGTAGCACATTTATAATCTTTTGAAACCTTATGTATCATAAGATGTTGTTTGAAGTGGTGTTTATTACTTGTTCCATAATCACAAGTAGCACATTTAAAATCCTTCGAAACTTTATGTATCAAAAGATGTTGTTTAAAGTGGTATTTATCATTTGTTCCATAATCACAACTAGCACATCTAAAATCCTTCAAAACTTTATGTGTCAAAAGATGTCGTTTGAGGAGCTGTTTATCATTTGTTCCATAATCACAAGTAGCACAATTAAAATCCTTTGAAACCTTATATATCAGAAGATGTCGTTTGAGGTAGTGTTTATTACTTGTTCCATAATCACAATTAGCACACTTAAAATCTTTAGGCACTGTTTTACACTCAGTTAAGGGGTGACTTGGCTGTATATCTTCATTATAAAGAAATTTAGAGTACGATGTACCGAGCGGTGTACTTTCGTCCTTTATTTTCACCACAACTTCGTTGCTTATTGAAATGTGTTCCTGAAGAAAAGAATGGATTTCTTCTTCATGTTTTGGTTCGATTTTAATTGGTAGTGTGTCATTATCTCCATCCATACCTTACAACAATGTTATAATAATCATTTATTTCAAGGCTAATACAAACCTTTGATTATATACTATTTCAAGGCTAATACAAACCTTTGATTATATACTACATACTTACCTAAGATTAAAAACCAAGTGAAGATGAATACTCTGAACACAAGGCACTGTTTTGTGGACAAGAACAAACAAACTGAAGTGAATCCTAAACGGGAACAATTGAGTAAATGATTACATACAATACGTTTGGAGAACATTCAATAGATGGCGCATTTGTTAGTATGCATGTAAAGTCACTAGATCTAGTGACTTTAGTGTGTGTGTGTGTGCGCCATTATGACAGTTGAATTTTTAATTCTGATTGACAGCTTATTATTATTATTATAGTCGGTGTTTCTTGTGAGAATTCAGGTCTAGCCTGGTTAACTAATCGCACGGATTAAAATCAAGTAACGATTAGAGTCTGTGTCTGTGTCTGGTGAAGTTATGTAGCGTAAAAAAAAAATTTACACACGCCCATTGCAAATCTAGGGATACTATGTGATTCATACTTACCAACATAGCTATTGATGGGCACAATAGCCAACGCTATTAGGAAAGAGGAAAACAAAGCAAAAGAAGTAATTATAATAATTCCTGTAATTTTAGCAATTTTATTAAATGGAGTTTATTGTGTAAGTGTTTCTTTGGCTTTGCGGTTGGGTTGAATACGAGTGGGTTGGGATAACATGATGTGTTTCTGTGAAGTAGGAGTTTTGTGTTTTTTAACTGTGCTAGGGCGTGTAACTTAAAGGTGGACCTGTCTTTGTAGTGCATGTTGCGTCACTTGTATTTATTCTTTGTTCTTGAGGTTGTATTTGTGTGGTTGCTTGGGTTATTGGTGGAGATATTACAGTATTTTGTGAGCTAGTAGTGCTGTTTAGGTTTTTGCGTTTGGGTTGAATACGAGTGGGTTGTGATAACGTGGTGTGTTATTATTGTTATTATTGTAATGATCTTAGCCTCCATCTTGGCGGGCTAACGCCAACTTCAAGTCACACCGGAATACTTGACCATGTTCTGTAGTATTGGGAATGCCACACTAACATGGCTGCCTACTTGAATATTCTCGCTTAAGTTTCCCGCGAGAATCTGTCACTCGGGGGCCACTCCGAGTGCAATAAGATCGTGACCGTCATGTAGGACACCTACGTTGTGTAATAACTGGATTCTCAGCAGGCACTGAGGGCGTTTTATGGGTAAGGAACACCAAAAGCAATAACTGATTAAGATTCGTTTGAAGCTAATACCGATACCAATACGGCGCTCCTGCAGAGGGTCTTAAGTGGTTCTATACTACTCCGGCATTTACCTTACGAATTAGGAAAACTGCAGGAAAACCTAATTCGGAGTAGTCCTATAATGAACAAAGCCTACAGCTAACAGCTTGAGATGGCCATACCTTTATGACAACGGCTGGATACTTAACATCAAAAACAAAATCTACGAACGCAACCAAAGAAGCCAGACACTGCCGTCCTTCCCGGTAGCGGAGCCACTACCAAAATACCAGAAATTTTATTTTTAGAATTTGAATGTTTTTGTAATCAATTAGGGTTAGGTACCTGGTTTTTGAAAAGAGGGATACTAAATAACAACAGCCGGGTTTACTGTTAGATAGGATGGAAATTTCCATTACGGGGTGGGTTAGTTTTCCGACTCAGGGGCGAAGAGGGTTTTTATTTGTTGAAAGGAAGTTCGGCGCCTTTTTGGAATGTGAAGAGGGACACTTGCTTGCTGACTACCTTCGAGAGAGTTTCGTTCCCGTAGTTGACAATTCGAGAATTCATATCAGGTGATGTAATTGGTTTTTGTTAATTCATTAATTGCATGTAACGTAAATTGTGTTCCCTCATATTTATTATCTCATTTTGCAATTTGGACTTCAATCCGAATATTCACATAACTGCCAATTTTGTACTTTGTTTGTAGGGGGATGCCTGGTAAATATCTTGCCAAACTGTTATGGGGAAAACGACCCTCTAGCTGGGGAAGTTTCGGATTTGTGTTTATTATGTTAACTTGGAAGGCGCCTATATGATTATTCAGATTCGTGTTCACAGTTGTTGGGTAGCTTAGTTGTAGAGTAGAAGCGTTGATTTTCTACGTGTGCAATGACCATTTATCAATTTATGAGAGGTCTCTAATCTTTCGACCGTGAGAAACTAGAGTCCATTGGCGAATCAAATTATAAAATTGCACAAGGAAACCACAAGGCAAGCGACTCTAGTTTCGAACCTTCAGCTTTAGGTAAGTTGTACTCGCAAACCCAGAGCAGTCTTGTTACCTGTTCCAGGGGTGGAACTATAATTAACAGTCTTCTGTTTCTGAAAGGTGTGTGTGACCGAGTTTGGGTATAATCGTGAGATAATTGACGCTTGGGAACACGAGTTTGGATGTCATTGTTATTTCATGATGTACCGACTAAGCCAGCTAGAAGAGTTTATTCCCCTGGTATTGTTCCAATCCGTTGTCCCAATAATGACCATTTTATAGAAACCCCGTGGTAGCTTGTTTATTAACGTCAACTCCTTTAGCTTCTACGAACACGAGTCGAGGGTTTCTCTGGCAGAGGTATTCCCTCGCACAGGCCTACTCGTTAGGGACTTCTGTTTGGGTAGCAATAAATACTTTCGGCCGCATTTGACTGTTTCTTTTTCTTCCCGATAGCAACTCCCATTCCGAGTGTAACGGTTACCACTTGACGGTGAGTAAAATATAGGGTCTCTGCCCTAGGCGATCCGATCACAAGCCACTTGTTCCGGCAGAGGAGAAGGCTGGACATGGTAGCCATATCCTTTTAGTATTTTCCCGCCGTATTTGAATTTAGTGTTCGGAGTGAAGTTAGTTGGCCCCTTAAGATCATTACAAGCTAATGTACAGCACTTTTGAGCCCTCTCGAAACCGGGGTAAATACTACATACACGCCACGAGCAACCAAAATGGATATTAAATACACCTCGCCGGGCGGTAGGATTACCCCAGGCCCAGTGGGGTGCCTGTAGACGTGGGCCTAAAGTTGTTGGGTTTCGGAACGAGTGAAAATGTTAGTGTTAGGTTCACCAAGGCCCGTATAAACTTGAATAACTCGATCCCCTCTAAACAAGCACACTTCCCTCTTGATTTCTCAGCCCCAAATAAGCAAATATAATGAAATGCAATGAAATAATCGAGAGTGACTAAAAAGCACAATACACAAATATGTACAGCAAAGATACAGCCCTACCGACAATGAAACCTGATTGCCAATCCCAACAAAGGTTACACATTAGAGGTACAAATGATTGAATCCAGTAAGTGCATAAATAAAGGGTTACAATCTGCATTCAAGTTACACACATTTATAGAATAATTGAATATAGCAAATACCTCAACTGATATAAAAAAACAAAAGCACACAGCAATGATTAAGGTATAACAAAATATTTCAAGATAAGCCGTACTTTACACTTAAGCCGGTTACAAGTAAAAGACCATGAACACACATGTTAAATCGTATTTATTGAAAACCCCAAGCAACTCTGTAACTTGATCTCTTAACACCCCTAAAAACCACCCGAAAATCGCCCATTCCCTGCATTTCTAAGAAAAAACTGGACTGCAGATGTTTGAAAAGGTAAACACGTGGTCTTCTGAGAAATTCAATCCGTCTCATCTTTGCTTTCTTTCACTTTTCCCACCAGATTTCGGTTGGCAGCTTGTGTAACTAACATGATATTTATAGGACGTTGCCAAGGTTGGGGCATTTCAATGCTTTTTGACACTAGATTTGTAATTTTATGAATAAAAAAATTGCACTGGACACAATTTAAAACTTTAAAAATCTTGTGACAACAGATTAAGATGACCTTTTTTGCTGTTTTAGTAATCACACTGGACGCATTTAAAAAAAATTTTAATTCCAGGAAAAAGAGAAGCTATGTACCACTTACTACACACTATTTCAAAAATGAAATCAGACTCAAGTTCTTTTTATTGCCGCTAGAGTCTAAAAAATTATAGTAGCATTAGGGCATTAAAACAGTGCAGTATTCTATATTTATACAAATGCTAAAGAGACTCTTCCACACATTAAAAAGTTACTCTAAAACAGAAAATTTAGCTTACTATTTTCATCTAAGCATAAGCAATATTTAAGTTTAAGAGAAATCACAAAGGGGTACATGTTATATCTTTGAAAGCCTTAAGTATTGTTTGAGGGCACACCTAAATCCTTAGAGATTTTATGCATTAATAACAGATGCCGTTTTAAGCTACTTTTGAAATTGGTCGCATAATCACAATGGTCACATGTAAAATCCTTGGCCACCTTGTGCGTTAAGAAATGTTTATTATTAAAATATGACTTATTATTTGTCGCGAAACCACACAGTTCACATTTAAACTCTTTGGAATGTTTTTTATGCGTTAATAAATGTTGATTGAAATAAGATTTATTATTTGTCGCAAAATTGCACTCTACACATTTAAAATCCTTAGACGCTTTGTGCACCATCATATGTTGTTTCATGTAGTGTTTGATACTAGTTGCGTAATCGCACAGGGAACATCTAAAATCCTTTGAAGTCTTGTGTGTTAAGGCATGTTGTTTGAAATGGTGTTTATTTCCGGTTGCGTAATCACAATGGACACATTTTAAATTTTTGGTAGTCTTATGAATTACGAGATGTCGTATGAAATATAACCTAGTATTTGTCGCGTAATCACACTGGGCACAGTTATAGTCCTTGGAAACTTTGTGTGTTACGACATGTCTCGATAAATGTTGATTGAAATACGACTTGTCATTTGTTGCGTAATCACATTGGGCGCATTTTAAGTCCTTGAAAGGTTTGTGTACTAAAAGATGCCGTTTGAAGGTACTTTTATAATTTGTCGCGTAATCGCAATGGACACATTTAAAATCTTTCAAAGCTTTATGCATCAACAGATGCCGTGTTAAGCTCACCCTATATTTCGATGCGTAACTACACTTGTCACATTTGTAATCATTGGAATCTTTGTGCTTTATGAGATGTCTTGTTAAATAGGTCCTTCGCTTCGTTACATAACCACAATGGAAGCATTTAAAAGTTGGGGGTGGTCCATCTACCGAATTTTCGATTGGAAGGTCCACATCGAATTTGGCTTCTACAGAACTTTCATTTTGAATGTCCACATCTTTTTGATTGCACGTAACATTAAGAGGATCTGCGACGATTG